TGCCCTCTGCCGTTGAAGTCCCCCGCGCTCTGTAGGCCTCTATACTCAACCTGTTGAACCTGCAATACCCACGTCTGGTTTCTATAGCGTGTGTTGAAAGGCTCATTTAAGCTGAGTTTCGACGTGAAGGGTGTCTCTCAAAGTGACGTTCGTGGAGAAGGCCACTATGTTAACACACTCGTGCGCTGAGATCTGATGGTGTTGGGCTCGTATGCGTGATTCTGTCAGTGCTGCTGTTGAATGCGGAGGAGAAACATGACCAGCCAGATCAGTAACGCGTGGGTTTGGCGATTTGTGAAGCAGGGCAAGCAACCCTCCAGCATACACCGCCCCCTTGAGTATACGAGGTGTGCCGTACCTCTCCCGCGAGCGGTATAGTCGAACTAGAGGCTTCATCGAAAAGGGAGCAGCTGGAGCGGAGACGTGAGGTATTTCATACTTCTGCCAAGTGCTGTCGCTCGACACCTTGGCTTGGACGCTTACAGAACTTGAATAGAGCATCGCCCTCGATCTCCCTGCACACGAAAGCCACAAAATCAAAATCGAGGCTTCGCGCGTGCTGAAACTTATGCAGCCTCCAGACCGGATGCATGAGGGTTTGGTGACTCGCGAGCTATCGCGTGTCGCGAAAGGCTCATGTTCGTTCAAAGTTCAACGTCTAGGCCATAAAGGGTGTCTCCGAACAGTAGCTGCGACGGGCCTTACGCCTTACGCAGCGACCGGAAGGTGGGGCAACGCTCGCTGCCAGACCAGGGCCTTGGGCGCGCTAAGCCCGGAAGTTTCAGCACAGACTGCAGGCCTTCCTGAATCTGTGCTCTGAACCCTGTGCTGGCTCCTTGGGTGAATGTCATGTTGCCGCAGGTGTGGACCAGGCGATGCCTGCCGTCTCCAATCTGTCATCCAGAATCTACAGGTAGCCACAGGTTGCGTTTGGTGGCAGCTGGTGGAAGCGAGTGCTCGCCGGGCAGAAGCAGCTGCCTGCATGGCAAGATGATATCCGCATGCCTGCAAGCGCCCCATGAATTCCGACAACATGCTCAGCGGCTCAGCCTTGCACTTCGGCCTCATGTTCAAACGCGCTTGATGCCGCAGGCATAGTCGCAACGTGCGGCCTTTGCGGGCTGTGGTGAGTCCAATGAGCAGAGCGGGAAAGCATGCCCACGCACCCCAATCGAAGCCTCCTGCCCACGGAGTGGCAGGAAGGTTACATGCCGACCCTGACAGCCGTTTCTGCAAGCTGGGACTGGCAGTCTCTCTGCATATCTGAACACGACCGCAGAAGGCTGGAGAAGCATCCAGCATCCTCGTACCGGCCCTTGCCCCGAAACCTTCTTGGAATCCCTCTCGCTGGCTTGTTTGGTGGAGGGCTCGTTTTAGCCGTGTGATGGCGTCGGTTCTAGTTTCACCTTCGGAGCAGAGATGTCTGTGGCTAGATAGACGTCTGCCTCCCGGATTTTGCCGTGATTGCCGCAAAGCCCGCAGCAGTGCTGGCTGAGTCCTTGCATCCATGAAGTCTTAAACTGAGTCAACACCAGGTAGGTGCCGCATGCGTTTGCACCAAGGCCAGCCCTCACAAGCGAAGGTCTTGGAGACCTTTCAGTGCAGCATCGACAAGCATAGTTGCAGATAGTCCAAGTCGAAGTGTGAGAGGCTTGGGCCTCTGCCGTCGTCAAGAAACCTAGGTCCCTAGGTGTCTCTGCTGTATCCAGCATTCCGAAGGTGTGCAAACGAGTCAGCCCGAGATGCCTGTGCACGAAAGCCACAAAATCGAGGCTTCGCACGTGCTGAAACTTATGCAGCCTCCAGACCGGATGCATGAGGGTTTGGTGACTCGCGAGCTATCGCGTGTCGCGAAAGGCTCAAAGTTCAACGTCTAGGCCATAAAGGGTGTCTCCGAACAGTAGCTGTTCGCCTGCTGAGGTTCGCGACGGCTCCTGTGCCGAGCCCATGCCACCTTACGCCTTACGCAGCTCGAAGGCTCAGGCGACCGGAAGGTGGGGCAACTGCTGCAGGTGACTTGCACACGAAGCCCACAGAATCAAGGCTTCGACCAAGGATGCGACCCAGGTCGAGAGGCTCACGGAATCTGTCGAGCCTGTAGACCGGATGTGTGAGGGTCTGATGCCTGCCAGTGCGGGTTGTCGCGCGTTCCGAAAAGCTTGCTCCGTCTGCAATACGAAAGAGACTTAGAGGCTGTCTCCGAACGTGTCGTTCGCGGAGAAAGCTAGTAAGTGCCATTGGGTGCTTACTTGCGCACTAGGCTCTGTTGGTGGAGGACTCGTGTGAGCCGTTTGATGGTGTTTCTCCCAGTTCGCTTTGCTAGCACACGAGGGGCCTTCGTGTCCCATCTTGCGGCCTGCAAGCTTCGCAAACAGGATGAGACCAACAGCTTGCATGGGAAGCCACAACGGACGGCCGTGGCGCCATCAAGGACTTCGTGAGTAAATTGTTGCAGTTGTCTGCATGAGCCCCTTGCAGCTCTCTTCCAAGGGAATCTCATGAGCGGAGTCGCAATCCAATGGACAGCAGAAGGCCAGTTTGCCTAGCTCCCACGGGCTTATCGTGAGAAACCTTACAGAGTTTTTGAAGCCCGCACGCAGTCTTTCCCCACTCCATGCGGGCCGTTGCTGCAGTTGAGAGGCGCAAGGAGGCAAGGTCGGGCAGGGTTCCTCGTTTTGGGCGTGTGAACTGATCTGTGTCAGGCAGGGCTTCGACCTCTTTACGGGAATTCTTCTGCATTGCTGAGGCTTTGCAGGGGGTCCCCCTGCCTCAACTTGTGAGGTTAAGCAGGATCTCCTTGGGTTTTAGAGGTTCGTCGGCAAGAAGCTTTGCGATTGTGTGGCCCGGTTTCCACATCAGCCTTCAGATTCTCAGCAGGCGGGGATGGTAGACTTGTAGTAGACTCTGGGTCCCACCCAGCAGGTCTAAGTCGAAGGGAACACGAAACAGGCCTCCTGCCCAAGCCAAAGCTCCGAGGGCATCGCGGCATGACTCGGATGGGTCGGAAGAATCATAGACACGTGTGATGGAGCGGCTTTTCTAGCTGGATTAGGTGTGGATTCATGGTTACCTTCATGGACTTTAGCCTGCAATCGGTCAGCATTTTCACAAGAACGAAGCGCCGTGCAACTCTCCGGCGTTGCGCAC